AGCCAGCCTGTGCCCCTTTAAGCGCTCTGGGGCCGGGAGGGGGGCATACGAGTTTCCCTGGTGGTGCCCAGAGTGGCCACCAGGGAAAGCTGGGAAGGGCTAGCCTCCCACTAGTTCGAATTAAGGGGCTACACAGCCCTTAATTCGAACTAGTAAGTTCGAACTAGGCTTAGTCCTCGTGCAATGAGGTTTACCTAGTTCGAACTAAGCGCTCCGCTAGTTCGAATTAAGTTCGAACTAGCGGAGCGCTAGTGTAGTGCCTATGAAAGTTAATTCGAACTAACATCTGTTAGTTCGAATTAACTTTGTAGTGTAGACATACCCTGATTCCTCAGAGACCATCAAAACCAGACCTGGAGCTTCTTTGTAGCTTGGCTTCCACTCCCTGCTGAGACTTGTAATGTGTTGTGCTCTCACATGTCACTAGCACCTGTTGCAGTGCAGACTGTGCACATTGCTCTATCAAGACTCTGAGTAAAAATATCATTAAAATGATGCCATGTGACTTTACAATTCTAGTAAAAATTTTGAACTTTATTTTTATAGACCTTTTATTTCTGAGAAACTCACACTTGAAGGCTGGCAAGAAGCAAGCTTTGAGTGAAAATGAAGAAACTTCACATGTTAAGAAATAAATTGGTCAGTTTTTTAAAAGTACAGTAATTGAAACGTTTTATTAAAATTTCTGCTGTTTGTACTCAGAAGAACCAGGCGTAATTTGTAATAGTGGCAGTGAAGGATTCCAAACCTGTAAGATGCAAGACAAAATGCTGCACTTTACTTTTATGGTATAATGTAAACATATAAATTTTAATCATCCATCCCCAAATAGCTGCCTTTTTAAACTTTATAGCCTTCAGTGCATAATAAAAATGACTTGACATGCCAATGTACAATAAAGAAATCTGAATTAAAAAATGACCTGAACTGGGATGGCTCTGAGTACTAGTTTGTTACTGGAAATTTCCACCTCCTCCTTATTGTGCACCACCAACAAAGCTGCACGAGGCATAGATTCTGCTTGGCAGGCTTTCTTTACACAACAGCAAGAGCCCTACTTTCACTCATGACCTGCTTGTGCATGTACACTGTCTTTTTGGAGGCACTGGGTCAAGTTGAGAGGTTATTGTAAGAAAGCCATTGAAGCTGGGACCTGGGCCAGGCCTGTACCCCCTCCCAGGAGAGTACCCTGAAAACAGTCATTCTCTCTCCGCTGCCCAAAGACTTTTTAAGTATTTACATGGTGGAACAGCATCACCAGGAGAAATGGAAGGAGTCCGGACCTTAGAAGGGAACTGAACCTAAGTCGCCCACATTCCAGGTGAGTGCTCTAACTTCTGGGCTCAAAGGTATAATGTGAGCACCACCTTCTTCTCCGGCAGATACTTAGCTAATTTTCACAAGAAACACCTTATATGCCTAAGCCACCCAACTCCAGGGGAGGGGTTCCCAGCTATGGATGTCAAGTGAAGAGGGGCATCTCTTTGTAGCATGGACTTAGGCACCTCTCAAAAGAAAAGGGCGGGTTTAAGGCACGCACTGCTTATCAGCATCTTCCCCTGTCCAGCTTAGAAGGCTCTCCACCTAGACTGCTGGTTTTTTGTGAGTGTCTACACTGCAATGTAAGCTCTGGGTTAGTGAAACTTGAGTTAGGAAAATCTGGGGCTTGAGTGTATACACTGATAGTTAACCCTAGCTTAAGAACTTTCTAACTTGGACTTGGACAGGGCCTCCACAATGCAACACACAGACCCAAGTCAAACCAGCCACGTCCCAGGCTTCCTTGTGCGTGTCTGGAATATGGCCACCTTTGACTATGGCACACTGTGGGAAAACTTCACTCAAGTTTATTTTCATTACTGATTCATATCAGACAGTATAATAATGGTAAACACATGAAAAAGGGCAAAACACATAGAAGACAGACCAACCCCTGCCATTGCATTGCCCATGGC